GGGGGGGGGGGGGGGGGGGGGGAGGCACAAATGCAAACAGCGAAAAGTCTACCATCCGGATCATTTCTCTTCACTGCTTATTGACCGACGGAAATGACGTTATGCAGATGAAACGTTCTGTTGCTGACAAAACGCAGTCATCGAGGGTCCTCCCTAGCAATTACAAACCTAGTAAATTGATGTTATTTGCTTTATCATCACCTAAGGCTGTCGGGTTCAGAATATTGGTTCATGCATACATTTCGGGAAAGTAGTTGATCGGCGCGGCTGTCGCCTCTTGCTGAAAGTAAAACAGCGCTTCACTTCATCGCCAGAGAGATGGCGAGAAAGCTCAATGGTTAGTGTACGAATTTACTGATCCAAGGTCTATGGTTCAAACCCGAACTCTGCATCTCGACTTCTCAGGTCTAGGCTTCGGCAACCTGGCAGCTGGGAACCGAAAGTGTTACAGCTGAACAATTTCATTTCGATTTTTCTGTCGCCAGTTCCACCCTCAAGCAATGCCCAGTCACTGGTGTCTATACTAGCTTACCAAGCTGATGGCAAAAATAGTCCACCGCAGTCACGTTGAAGCACGTGACATGAATCAGATGGGCAAGTGACTATAATTTGCACGCCGTAAATTTTGAATGCAATCATTAGCGAGAGATCAGCTGGTGAATGCTGCTTGATAACCTGCGTGACGGTTATGTTGAAGGCGGGCTGCACAAGCACGGTCAGTCGTTGAATCATTCACGCACCAAATGTATTCTCCACACAAAATTGGTCAATTGGGACCAGCGCACACGTATTATCGAGCACCGGATCCAAGAATTGTACGGGCGTAAACACACATGCTGCCCATTACAGCCTGCACCAGATGGAGCCCGCCCGAAAAACTCTTCACAGTCACAGCCTATTTGTCACCCCCCGAAGGTTTCCACTGGTCAGCAATGCTCCCCAAACGTGTCTCCTGGGTCAAACAAGCAACCAAAACTTACCAGTGTGGTGGTACCTGTCCCCCATTCTTTGACCCGCTCACTCAAAACGCGACACATGTATTTTAGACCATCAGAAGTAAGTGGTACTTACGAAATTTACTTGTTTAAACCCGGAAGATGATGTTTTGCCATACGTTCGATCTTTAATTAGGCGAACGTGTCGGCGGTTACTATTGGTGGGCGTTAAAGCAGCTTAGGCTCGACGGAACGAAAAATGCTT